CAGGCTGTTCCCCTCTGTGCCCCCCGGGCTAGCTGTGCCCCCACCTAGGGCTTGGGGGAGGCAGGGTAGAACCCCCCCCAGGGCTGGCAGTGTCACCCCTGGGCTGGGGCAGGCAGGGCTGCTCCTCCCATGGCACCCCAGGGGTTGCTGTGTGTCACCTGTCGCTGCACTAGTACCGTCCTTGTGAGCCTGGGCAGGGCTTGTCCCCCTGGGAACATGCCCTGGGTCCTGTCTGGAGAGAGAGCCTGTCCCAGCCTGGCTCCTCACCCCCAGCATTCTCAGCTCTTGGAATCCAGCACAGTCCCTGACCCCTGTCCCCCCTCAGAGGACAAGCAGGTGCTACAGCACCTGAAGCGGATCCTGGCCAAGGTGCAGGAGATGCGTGACCAGCGCCTGTCCCTGGAGCAGCAGCTGCGGGAGATGATCCAGAAGGATGACATCACCTCCTCGCTGGTCACCACCGACCGCTCTGAGATGAAGGTGGGCCTGGGGACACACCCAGGGTCTCTCTTGGGGGCTCTGCTCCGTCCCTCACCCCCCAAACCCTCCTCTCTCCCTGCAGAAGCTCTTTGAGGAGCAGCTGAAGAAGTATGACCAGATCAAGGTGTACCTGGAGCAGAACTTGGCAGCTCAGGAGAATGTGCTCAAGGCCTTGACTGATGCCAACGTGAAGTACGCAGCTGTGCGCAAGGCCCTGGCCGAGGTGGAGCACAAGTGAGTAGGGCTGAGGGGGGCGTCTCAGACCCCAGGGGACAAGTGTGGGGTCATCACTGGCTGCTCCAGTCCCACCACACTGCTGGGGACTATGGTGGCTTTGTCCTGCCCCTGCGACCGTCCCAGTGAGGTGTCTTGGGGACCTGGGAGGGGGGCCTCAGTCCCCAGGAACAGCCCTCACCCTCTTAGGTAACGGGTGTGGGGTCACCACCAGTTTCTCCAGTCCCATGGGACTGCTGGGGGCCATGATGGCTTTATCCTGCACCCGTGACCATCCCAGGGTCAGGTGTCTTGGTTCCCTGGAGGGTCTTAGTCCCCAGGAACACCCTCATCTCCCTCAAGGGACAGGCATGGGGTAACCACCGGCTTCTCCAGTCCCCCCCCACTGCTGGGGGCACTGGTGGCTTTGTCCTGATTGTAAGCTAGAGGTCCCCCAGTACCCAGAGCTGGGGTGCCCACCTTTATCCTAGCACTCCATCCCAGTCAGCCCCTCGGTGCCCTCTCCCCAGGTGGAACACTACCGTCCAGACCCTGGTGGCCTCCTACGAAGCCTACGAGGACCTGATGAAGAAGTCTCAGGAAGGAAAGGACTTCTACA